TGAGATCATATTCTAGGCTTGGTACAATTTGTTCTGCTACATATACAAAGTTTACCAAGAGAACTGACATTTTGAGTGCCTTTTAGGGGAAGGGTAGGGACTAAATCCATAGCTCTAGATAATTTATTTTTTAATGTGTTTTGTATAGGGGCTATAGGGTCTCACTATAGGGTCTCACTACAGATCAGATTCATAATGATCCTCCTGTTTCAGTCTCCCAAGCGCTGGGATTACAGGCATGCATCACCACACCCAGTCTCATACTTCTAGATTATAACCTTTCATCTTGGATCAAGGACTGCAGAAGTTCAAAGAAAGATGTTCCTGATGACTGAAGGTGGTCTCCAATCTCATCATCAGAAGCAAACACTAAGTTCTGTCAGCCAGCTGAGGTGCCAAAAGGGAAGAAGGCCAAGGGCAAGAAGGTAGCCTTAGCTCCTACTGTCATGAAGAAGGAGGAAGCCAAGAAGGTGGTAAATCCTGTTTGAGAAGAGGCCAAAGAATTTTGGCATTGAACAGGATATCCAGCCTAAGAGAGACCTCACCAGTTTTGTCAAATGGCCCCACTACATCTGGCTGCAGTGACAGAGGGCCATCCTGTACAAGTGAAGGTGTCCCTTGCGATTAACCAGTTCACCCAGGCCTTGGACCGCCAAACAGCTACCCAGTTGCTTAAGTTTGCCCACAAGTACTGACCAGAGACCAAGCAAGAGAAGCAGAGGCTGTTGGCCCGGGCAGAGAAGAAGGCTGCTGGCAAAGGAGATGTCCCGACTAAGAGGCCACTGGTCCTCAGAGCAGGCTTCGGCACTGTCACCACTATGGTAGAGAACAAGAAGGCTCAGCTCATGGTGACCGTGCACGACATGGACCTCACTGAGCTGGTCATGTTCCTGCCTGCCCTGTGTTGCAAGATGGGGGTTCCTTACTGCATCATCAAGGGGAAGGCCAGGCTGGGACATCTGGTCAATAGGAAGACCTGTACCATTGTTGCCTTCACACACGTCAACTGGGAAGACAAAGGTGTGCTGGTTAAGCTGGTGGAAGCCATCAGGACCAACTACAATGACAGATGCGATGAGATCCATCGTCACTGGGGAGGCAACATTCTGGGTCCAAATTCTGTGGCTTGTATTGCCAAGCTGGAGAAAGCAAAGGCTAAAGTGCTTGCCACTAAACTGAGCTAAGTGTACTCGAGTTTTCTGTACATAAAAACAATAAGTTGTCCTTAATCCAGTGGGGGGAAGAAAAGACACCACCCAAGGAGTCCTCCAACTCCAACACAGTACCTGCAACTAACCTGTTGCCCTTCTGCACACAATACTCTTCAGTCTGGTATATTTCTGAGATTTCCAAAGTAAATGATTTAACTGATAGACCAAACTGTAAAGACATTAAGTGATCTAATTTCTACAAGGAGTTCCCTGAAGACCTGTAAGACAGATCTAACGTGGATAAGTGCAGTGATTACATCATGGAAACCATAATCACCACCAAATCCCGGGCTCTGACTATGGCAATCTGAGCAGACACAGCTCTAAACCCTGAAAGAGCTGATCCATTCACCCAGTGTGCTAGTGCCAACTGGACAATTCGCCAGCAGCAGTGGGTGCTGGAGGCAGGAAAGGTGGAGGAGTGCATAACGGGTAGCAAGAGTGAGATCTCTTATGGTGAAAGGACAGTTTAAGATCACAACAGAGACGTTTACATACTCCACAAATGCGCCCACAGGCACAGAAATATATGCCAATGCCAACTTCCTGGTCCTATCTCCTAGCAGAATTACAGAAGATACTAACAGCTTGGGGACACAAGGAAGGGTATAAGGTGCTGTTTTTTACCCTCTCTTTACAGTTTCCTATGAATCTATAACTATTTCAAAATAAAAGGTCAAATCCCTCATGTCTATTAATCAAAAAGTAGAGATGCTTCTTAGTCATAAATATTCAAATCAATTGGCTCAATTGAAAGACCAGAAAAAGATACAAACACTAGAGCATCTGTGCTTCAGAAACTCTTGCTTCCTGAACCGGGCCTCTAGCTCCAGCCAGGCAGGAAAACGGCTCCTGAGGCTGCCATCAGCCCCACACCTCTAAACTGGCGCCACTCCACCTTGAAGGTCAGAGGTGAAGTCCTGAAATTTAAACCTTTCTTTTCCACAAAATGGGAACAGCCAAGCATATTCCCACAAAATGAAGATACACTACTAACTACCAGTGTCTCTGATAAAAGCTCAAGGAAAACTGCTAAAGCATACCCAAGTAAGTTCAATATAAATTTTCAATGGAAAAAAAATTAACAACAAAAAAATTAACAGTGGCAGTAGTAAGGACAGGGAAAGAACATTGATTTCGGAGTTGGAGGGACCTCAGTTTGCTCAATGCTAAGAAGGGGCACAACAACCACCTCACGGGACTGTTATTGGATTCAGTGAGATATCATAAGCACCTAGCAGTGTCTATAGGCAGATGCTTAATAAAGAGGTCACTTCTGTGACATCAAGTGCCACAGTAACTATAATCAGTAGGCCGGCCCACTGTGCACCAGAATGTGCTCAACAGTGAGCTCCAGAATCTGCAGGTGTACACAGGTCAGGGGCAGCACTACTCCCAGAGAGCATCACTCTTCTCACGTTCAACATGACTGCAGTTTCTGAGCCTCCTCGCATCTGGCCATAGGAGAACCAGAGTCTTTGCCAAGACAAGTATTCAAGCCACTACTGCAATGTAGTTGAGGAGGGAAAGCCAAGGGAGGTGGTCTCTCCTTATAAACCTGAGCCAGACACCCTGGTCTCCCCCACAAGTCAGGCCTGCACATACTCAAGGAAGCACGAATCCAGATGGGCTAGAAGCCACCCTAGCCATAGTCACGTGTACATCCACTGGCGGAAACACTATAGATAAACCAAAATGGGACAGACAGAAACTTTACACAAAACACAGCTCAAGGCTGGGTGTGATGGCGTGAACCTGTAATTTCTGCACTCAGGAGGCTGAGGTAGGAAGATTACCATGAGTTCAAGTCCATCCTGTGCTACCTAGTAAATTCAAGGCCAGCCTGGAAATTGTGACACCCTGTCTCAAAAAATAAAAACACAGCACAATATCAAGGTTGACACCATCTATACTAACTGAACTAAATGAGATTTTCCCTGACTAGCATTAAGAAATTGCTGAAACACCTGGAACACAGGTGAGCTTGCTTGGACACGACTGAGTGTTGATGACATGACCACACATTCCAGAAATATCAGGCCATGTGGAAATGCCTCATGGCACCTAACAACCTGTCACCCAGCAGTCTCAAAAGCCTGATGGAAGATTAGAAATGCTAATCTCCTATAAGGGAAAGCTTTCTACTTTAAAGTCCTACCACAAGCCAATAAACAATATTTCTGTTCATGACCAGATCAGCTGTAAGATCTCCACAAGGGCTGGGACACAGGTGGGACAGGGATCAAAGGAGGTGCAAGTCTCCAGAGAAGGAAGGATTATAGAGGTCTGTTGGAGGAGACTGTCACATTAGAGATCTGAAAGAGGCTGGGGAAGGGGGTAGGGCTGGTACCAAGGTAAAGCCTGGCCACTGGAGGAGCAGTCAGGGCAGAGAGGTGACTGCTGAGGGAAAGAGACTACGAAGCTAGATTCTCCGTGAGTACTTAGGCAATGCAGAGCACCATCAAAGGTGGGCTTGAGAAAGAAAGCTGAGCTAGGACAGGTGTCTCATCCTCAGTGGATAGGAAGGGCCAATCCAGGCCATGGGACAACTACAGAGGGGTAGAGGGGACAGAGCCAGCCTGTCTGACCAGTGCTGCTCATCTCTCTCATGAAAGATCATCCTATATGGCCAGAAGTCAGATTCCTCCTTCCTCAGGATCAGCTGCTATCCTGCAGCTCAGCACAGACCCTGTAGCTACCAGCCAGGCAGATGGTGTGTGTGTGTGTGTGGGGGGGGGGGGGGGGAGCCGTGTATCTACCACCCTCCCTCTGAAGGGGTAGAGCATCTGAGTGCTAAGATGCACTCAGGGGCTGGGAATTCAGCCCCAACCTGAAGGGAAATCACCCAATACAATTTCTCATCACCAATAACTCCCCAGTCTCTGAAAATAATATTAAGTAATAAATGCCAACTATTGTGGGGAAAAAAAAAAAAAAGACTTCTCTCAGCCTGGAAAAATGTAGAGATAAATAAGTCCCTTTATTCTACAGTCACCAGGGACCTTCACTAGGAATCATTAGAAGAATTAAGTATGACACACCAGAGCACATTAGTTGACTAATAGCTGTACCAACTGTATTTTCCAGGTTTTCATAGACAATACCAGTTTTATCTGAATCCATTATTTCCAGAAATTCTTAGTTCAAAAATTCTAGTATTTGGACATAGAAGGCTGCCTGTTAACATTTGGAGATGGTGCAACAATTCTGTGACTTACACAGCCAATTTAAAAATTAGGGTTCTGAATTACGACTTCACCAAGTCTAGAGGGTGGCTTACTCATTCCCTTCTTTTGTAGTTTTGAAGAGAAGAATCCTCCAAATGATGCTGATGGCCCACTGATTAGAAGCCCTCATGATGGAAAGGATGGGTTCTAGAGTGCACACACTGCACTGTCTTCTCTCCCAAGCACATTCCAGACTACAGCGCAGCTAGAGAAAAACAACAAATGGCCCTGCATGTGCCCTCACCTCCTTTGGTGACGGGGACATTTTTCCTTTTGAATATATCAAATCAGCAGTAAGTTTTAACTCTTGTCCTTACATAAAGAAACAAACAGAACACATATAATGCATCCTTTTTTATGATTCCTTATAAAATGTGGCTACCAGCTACTAGCAGCAAGAAGATGAGTGTTAGCTTCTGTGAGAAGTCCTTAAAAGTACCAGGAGGGGGGTGTAACCTTCTCTGCAACGCACAGCGCTATCAGTTGCAGACTCATAGAGTCCTACCCACACCTGCAAATGACACAGTATGAAACAGTGTCCCAGTGGAGTGTGGTTCCACACCTTAGAAGTCTTCTTGCTCTGCCTTTTCCCAAAAACGCAGTCAAGATCTGTTTTGCTCCGAGATGACAGGTCCTTTCCTAGGAAAACAACATGGTACTTTTCAGTAAGGCCATTTGCTCTAAATGAGGAACACAAATCTGAATTATGAAACTCCTGAAAGGAACATCACTTGTAGAAAATACAGTTTTTAACTACTGCTTTCTACCTGTCCCTTAAAAATGTAACTCTTTGATGAATAAAATTAAAGAATCAAGTTACTACCTTAGTATCAGAACTCTTGACACTCCCTGTAAACTGTAAAAATAAACTGGAGCTCATAGATGGGAGGAAAAAGCCTCAAGGCTGATCCTGCTTCTGATACACCTTCAATACACAATTTCTGGGTCTCTGGGTTCTTTGTTAGAACAGAGATTTCAAACACCTCAGAAAGACACAAGCTACTTACGGAGGATTATGAAACACATTTAAAAGATACTGTTCAATATATAGCTTCAAACACTAAATTTTTACTTGTGGAATTAGTAATTATTGACATACAAGATCAATAATTATTAACAGAATGAAAATTAAAATAAATACAAATATAAATTCAAATTCTTTTAAAATATGTTCTTAATTGGAAATTAAGTGGCTTTGGTAAAAACAGGGTCCAAAGGATCTATGATTCTTATTTTAAAAACTAAACTCTTAACTTAATTTCAAACCCACAAACCAACAATTTTGAAACTCAATTCGTTGGAATTCCATTTCCACCCAAAATACTCTGTGAGCAGCGGGCCAAAGCCTTTCCCATTTGTCAACTTCACGGTACGTGCATTTGAAAACGTAACCGCTCTGGGGAGGGCGGTCTGGGGCACAGGAATCTGTGTTTCGAGGAAGAAACCAGGTTCCACTGCCATATGCTCACTTGTCTTGGTGGTGTCCTGTAGCAAACTGACTTAGCAAAGCAACGTCATGACCCAGAAGGTTCTGGTTCACTGACTATCTCCAGGGCATTCAAATATGATATTGCTCAGTGACTCCATGAAATTAAACAACAAAATACCCTTCAACTTAATGCAAAACCAGGTACAGAACCGGTCCCAGAGGCAGAAGTCTCAGGTTCAATAGTACAGTCAGTACAACCTGTTCCCAGAGTGGAGGAAGGCCCTACACCACCCCTGTGCACTGCTCCTTGCCTCCAGCTGAGCCAGAAACCAGTCTGCCTGACTTCTAACTACGTCTGCCGGACTTTGACTACTAAATAGAACTTTAACAAAAGACCCCAGAGAAAGCCTACTCAAGAATGGAATGAGGCAGAGCAGAGTTAAGAGCCCAGGAAATAAGTCAGAAAGTGGGGAAAGATGACTGGTCCCTGGGTTTAGGAAGTAAACTAACTGGAAGGAGGGGCAGGGCCCTATTCTCGGCTCTCATCAGCACAGTCCATTCCCACTGCAAAGTGCATTCAGGTTGTAGATTCTACTTCAGAAGAGCCCACTGAGCTTAGTTCAAAATGTGCACTGGCAAGTACGCTGGCTGTGTATCCCCGACCTGTCGCCCGCGAAGGAAGAGATACCCTAAAAGGAAATGTAGATCAGGTCTTACACACCACTTAAACTAAAAGAAAAGTTGGAGGGGTCAGGGCAGGAGGGCACATGGGAGATCACAATTCTAAAACAGGATGCCAAAATATGAATGCACTAACATTTAAACCGTATTTAAAAGTCAAAGGGAAAGTGCCAGGACCAGGAGTCAGTAAGCTGTGCCAAGGCAGGTACAAGTGTTTCTAGAGCTTTGGCAGTGGGTTCTTATATCACAAATATCTATCCTTTAGCAAAGCTCACTTAAATGTAGAAAATAGGATTGTTACAGGCCTTGCTCTGGATCAGATCTGGATATCAAGAACACAGAGAAGAAAGAAGACTCAGAGATCACTGGAAGGAACTTAGGAAGAAATGTAAAGATGGAGTTGATTTTGAGCTTGCTGCTAATTAATGGTTCAGGCAAAACAGTTTGTAAACATAAAACTCTGAACAAACTAAACAGAAAATGAATTTCAAAAGTTTATTAGTCTCAGTTCTGACCCACGGTGAAATCACAGCAATTATTGCTGATGACTCTTAGAGAAAAGAACAATACGGAAAGCTAAACATAACAGGAAATCATAAAATCTACCTGGGCATGGTTCATCTATCCCTGGTTTTCAACTGGACGGAGCATTCTGAGAATGAAGCTAATGAACATGGTCTGCACAACCCTGAGCAGACAGTTTACAGAGAGAACTGTAGGTCAGCTGGCCCACTTCAGCGGTCGGCCCCAGCTGGGGGCCACCTGGTCTTCCCAGCAATCAGCACAGCAAATAGAGACACAGCACCACACAGAGACACATGCACCACACCAAGACATCTACAAGGGAAGCCAGTGGCCTCTCACAGATAACAGAACTGAGGAATCACCAAGATTTGTAATCACTCAATTTAAGAGCAAGGGAATAATTCAATGAGCTTTAAGAGAAAACAGTGCTATATCTGAGGCTCAAAACCAATGTGTACACCAGGCACGGTGGTGCATGCTTCAGTCCCAGTAGCTGGAAGGTAGAAGGAATGCCCTGAGTTCCAGGCCAGCCTAGGCTACACAGTGAGACCTCATCTAAAAACAACAAAAAACAAACAAAACCAAAAAACCAAACAACAAAGCAAACCCAACAAATGCATAGAAAGTAGAGTCTTTTAGAGCAAGAAAAAGAAAATAAGAAATTTTACAAGTATATTTGTTAAAGAAAAACACAAAGCTTATGCCAGTAGCTTCAATTATTAGAAAATGCATTTGCATTTTTCAATCAAGAAAATAAATAAAATGCTAAAATACTATACTCTGGGGGCCGGGAAGATGGCTCAGTAGAATAAGTGCTTCCCTGGCAACCATAAGGGCCTGAGTTCAATCCCCAGTTCCACCAAAAATAATAATAATAATAATAAAATACTATACTCTGATTTTCTTCTTTTCATGTAACACATGGGATAGAAAAGTCAAGGCAAAAAACAAACCAACTTCACTAAAAGAGAATGTTAGAAAAGCAGAAAGTCTGGAAGAATCAGGGTAGGCTAGAAGGAGGGAGACCCAAAGAACTACTAAGAAAGCAGTGTGAGATGGTGCTATTTGACATTAACTGTCTACAGAATCAGAAAAGAGACCAGGGCTCCTCACAGCCACATTCTGACCAGGGGAGGGGTTAGCCATGCTAAGTGCCCGCCAGCCATCTGGAGTATGACCACGTAGGCAGTTTCCTCACCTGAGCAGTGTGTGAGCTAGCACAGGGATACGAGGTCTGCGTGAATTGCTGCGATGAAGCTGAGCCGCTGCAGTTTCTGGCACTTTTCAACTACCCACTGCACAGCCAAAGAGGAAGAACAGTGCTCTCCCAACAGCCTCTCACTGTCTAGGGAAAAAACCCTTCAAAAATGGCATAAACTGGCATTTTCCCTATGGAGATGTGGTCTTACTTAACATTTCTCAAATACGTACACTGGAGCTAGATTTCAAATAAATGTGGATGGAAGTAACATACAAATATATAATAAATCATTTCAAATCAAAACTGCAAATTTGGGGCTGTCAGTTCTGATAATTATGTAGTCAATATTTATGTAGTAGTACATTTTATAGCACCCACTTTATCTACAGTTTTTATCAGCTCTATAAAGAGTCACCTATTTATGCTTAGTTTTCTGGACCATAGTGGAGTCACAATGTGAACCATTTTCCTCAACAACATGAATCAGTAAATTCCACTCTGAGCATATCCATGGGCTAAAATCCCTACTAGCCATAATGCCAAAAATGTACAAGTGCCATGAAGGAGCTGTCTTTCATTACTCCTGAAACGGAACCTCATTTAGACTTACAACATTTACAGAAGAGAAAACCTGAGTCTGACGGAAGGAAACTGGCTTGCTGATGTGTCTAGGGGCATCACAGCCGGCAGGCAGGTGCCCAGGCCTAGCTTGTGAGTTGACGTGCACACCCAACACTGGCTATTGAGGAAGGAGTTCCTTTTAGGAAATTAGAACCACTTTAATAAAGTAAGTTTTCACTGCAGATGGTGGACATGGGTGGCATAAAGACTTTTTTTTCACTACTTCCACTTTTGCTTCCTCCTCGTGTCTTCTGGACTCACTCTGCCTGCACATGCTCCACCCCCGACTCCATCTCCTCCTTCACTTAACAGCTTATCTGGAACCCTGTCTCTCTGTGTACCACCAGTGCCTCCCTTATCCCCCAATGGGGCTGATAAGTACACAAATCTTATTCTAAGAGGGAAAATGGGGGCCGGGGAGATGACCCAGTGGAATAAGCGCATCCCTGGCAAGCACGAGGGTCTGAGTTCAAGCCCCAGTTCTGCCAAACCCCCCCCCCCACAAAAAAAAAGTTTAGGGCTGGGGAGATGGCTCAGTAGAATAAGTGCTTCCCTGGCATGCACAAGGGCCTGAGTTCAATCCCTGGTTCCACCAAAAAAAAAAAAAAAAAAAAAAAAGAGGAAAAATGAAGGTACAAAGCCCCAGCTGGTTTGCAGAGGTCACCAGCAAGGGAGTGGCTTAACTAGAAATAGAAAGTAGAAACTTGTGGCACCCAGTCGATTAAGCAGATTAGAGGTTTACCCAGCTGCGACAGGCTTTAGATTAGGTTAGGCATGTAGTCTGGTCCCAAAGAACAACAGGAGCCTGTGCCAACAGAAGCCGCTGTGCCATTCCTGCTGGCCATTCCACCCTCACCCATGCGCTCTGCCTCAGCCCTTGACTCACCTCCGCTGGAGCTGCGCTGGGGCTGAAGGGCTGTGAAAGGATCTGGGAACAGTGTACGATCCTCTCCTCTCCTTTCCCCTCCCCTGCTCTCCCTTCCCCTACTCATCCAAAGGACTGAGTGGCGAGCGGTGTGTCTCCTGTCCTGCAGTGGAATGGGACAGAAGTGGAGTGGGACAGAAGCCTGGTCAGAAGTCCACGGGCTAATGACCTGCAAGGCTGCTTGCCTGAGAGGAAGAATGGAGCCACTTACCACATGCCCTGGGAGAGGGCAGAAGCAATACCAGGCTTTCCCTGCACCCAAGTCTCAACTTTGGCTCTGCCTGGGCTTCTCACTGAGATCAAACCCAGTTCTACCTTTTGGATCCTGGCCCCAAATGAAAAACAAAATCAAAAGTTCAGAGTAGTGGGAATTCCATGTCCTACTGCCATGCAGCAGGGTGCTGGGAATTAAGGGGCCCCAGTCCAGCTGACAAAACTAAAGCAGAGACATGCCTTTCCTGGCACACAGCTCATCTCCCAGAGAACATGCCTGTGGCCAGATGTCACAGTGCCACCACACCATATGTAGTATACCTTAAGTACATAACGTAGTAAATATAAATAGCCTTTGTGTCTTAAGAAACTGGGGAGTGGATTCGTTCCAGGTCAATGGTTTCTCACCAGCTCAAGACTAACACCTAGTGGTAACAGAGAACAACTGCACTCAAAAGGACTATTGCAGGGCCAGGAAAGGTGGGAAGTGGCCTGAGAGGTGGTTGGCAGTAGACACGCTTTTCCACCAGGTCTCAAACATGTTTCCCCATCACTGTGGAGATGACAATGAGATGTTGACAGGCATCAACTCTCCACAAGATGGAGAGGCTGGAATATGACCAGGATCAACATGGGAGTTCACTTTATCATAGAGATCTCACCACAGAGGGTGACTCTTTCAACAAGCATGTTAGGAACTATTCAACACCAACATTTAGTTCCGTAAAATATGAAGATGGAGGTAAAACACTTACCACTAAATTAAAATTGTCTCCTGATACAGCCACATAATGTTCCTGGATTTCTCTTAACGACACACTAACTTCTGCTCTCAGGTCTACTCTGGAACCAGGCCACATGGAAGTCTGAGTGGGCACAGATCCTAGGACGGTTCTAACATAGCCCCACACTGCCTGGCTAACAGCCAACAGCTGTCTGGATGGTCTCTTTAGTACACAAAAAAGTCAGCCACTGCTGGTGAGGTGCTAAAAATGCTTCCAGAAACTAAGTATGAACACACAGATCTCAACAAGAAATAAAGAAACACTAGCTCTTACCTTTTGTGAATTTCATGTAATGAACTCGTTTTCTGGAGACTTTGGACTTTTCTTCAAGGCTGAAAGATTTCTTTTCCTTGTTGTCTGGAGAATCTTAAAGAGGAAAATCACTACATTGAATTCCTTGTGATTCGTTCTCATTTATTCTCTTACAATCAAAGATTACTTAAGATGTTTAGAAGCCCCATCATTTATTACTGAACTCCCATCAAATAGTAAGAATTTTTTAAAATTGTACTACGGGGTCAGGCAAGCTTATCCACCAAATATCTATGAAATTCTTGAGTGACAGAAATGCAAGCACAGAGGGGCCAGGGAGATGGCTCAGTAGAGTAAGTGCTTGCCTGGCAAATGCTAGGGTCTGAGTTCAACCCCAGTTCCGAGAAAAAAAAAAAAAGAAAATGCAAGCACAGGTGGCTAAGGTTTTCAGACAATGCCCAGCATGGGTTGATACCAACTAACTGAATTAGTCTCCTCTGCAGCTACTTCTCAAAAACTTTGGGACTTTTTTTCCCTAAAAACATCTTACCTGGAATTTTCTCTCCTTTTGTGATCAAGATGTCATATGGCACAAAACATTTTCAGTGCTGGCCTTTAAACAGAAACCACCTAAGAAATGCCCAGGTACCAATGGCTGGCATAAGTGCAAGGCTGGCTAGCGCCCACTGTGCATCTCATCTGTACAGCCATCCCATCAGGCAGCAGCCAGGATTACTGCACTCATCGAGAGGCACCAAGAGGAGGATGAGTGAGGTACATGCAGGCGGTGGCACTGATGGGACAGCACCAGACAGACACAACTGTGCACACACACGCTAACTATGGTACCGTGTCCCTAACAGCTGTTCTCACTGCGGGGCCAGTCAGCCACACAGGGCACGACCCCCCTTCTGGGCTCCTGCTCCAGCTGAGGGATGTCTGCCCCCAACATAGCCCCACTCCTGCCTGTCCACATGCTCTCTTGCCAGCACTGGTCTGGTCCAAGGCAGCATCTGCCTGGCTTGCCTGTCCTCCCTCCCCTCCACTGTGCTTGGAGAGAAGGCCTGAGTCTCCTTTCCCTCAAGACCAATGAGGAGCAACCCAAGCACTGACTGAAGTCTGCATGAGTTCTTTTTTTTCAGCAACTGTGGTACTTGATACATGGTGTCAACTTGACATTAGAAGCTCAGCGGGATCAGCTCCACCAGCTCTGGGACTGGAGAGAGCCCGCCCTGGGGTGCGATGGGTTCCACTCTAGGGTGCATGGGCAGCCCCAGAGTGACTCAGCACACAAGGTGTATATAAAGGAGGACTTCACTACTGCCTGCCCTGCCCCTTAGAGAAGTCCCAGTCTTTAGAGGAGCTTGTTCTTCGCAGCAGTGCCACTTTGGAGGAGCCACGATATTCGCCGTGGAGCACGTAGTAGGAAGAGAGAGGCTTGATGGATGCTGCCGCTGCTGCTCCTCCTCTGCTCTTCATTGTCTTCTGCTGCCATAAACTGCTGCCATTTGCCTTGGAGCCAGCTGAGTATAAACTAAAACCTCCACAAACCATGAGCTAAATTAAATAAACCTTTCCTTCCTTCATTTTGAGTGTTGGGTATTTGTCCTAACAATGAGTAAAAAATAACTAAGACAGCAACTAACCAGCTCCCCAAACCAAAACTCCAAGCTTTTTCACCAAAAAATGGACTGCCACAGAAATTTCCTTGTTTTAATATGGTTTTACTAAGTGTAATCTTCTAATTATAATGACAACATAATCTAAAATAAAATCTTTTTACAGGTGTTGTGGTCATAGAAATCAACAAAAAAAATTACATGTATTTATTCTGTGATACAGCAATATAAAAGAGCAATCAATTTTTAAAAGTTTGAAAATAAAATATAGTAACACAAACCACTATGGGGTATAGGAAATGGAAACAGCATTTAGAGGGAAGGTATGGGAAATATAACACCACTGACTACTGAAGCATTTATTTTTAAGTAGATGATAATTAGTATCAAGTTGTTATGAAATTTAACAGCAACAGTAAACATTTAGGATTGATACAATGATTTTATTTTTAAATTCCACTTACTGTTTATTGGCTACGTTTAAGATGAATGTAATGGATTTACTGTAACTGCCAACATTCCCCAATGAGTAAGAAATTATTCTTTTGTAACCATGTATATATGATTTTTTAAAATCCTGAATGGTGATCTATAACTGTGAGAGCATACTGCTTTTTCAAAATCTTGTTACAGTATATGTAAGCAAAGTAATTCTGAAGATGCCTATTCTAAACAACGCATCTGTGTATAAGATTCTCAACATCCCAGTTCATTTCCCAATACTTAAAACCACTAATGGCAAGATACCTGGTGGACATTGGCAAGTGATTCCTAAAACGGAGATAAGTCCACCAAAATGCTACCCGAGTCTGAAAGAGAGTAACTGAGAGAAGATAGTTTTAAAAAATGAAATCTAAATGCATATGCTGAGTGCTGAGCCTCACAAAGGAATGGGGTTATTTCTACACTTGTAAGACTGTATGTAGAGGACAGCACATACTGTCTGCTTAGTTCAAAAGTATGTGGTATGAATTTGGGAAGCACCCTAAGGAGCTGAGGATACTATTACAGCAGAAGAGCATCTTCTAGGCTACTGTGTCACCTGCTTTCCAGCTTTAATACAAATAATGCTGTGACTATGATCAAAAAGTCACTTGGATAAAGACCCTGCATTTACCAAAAGTGACATAGCACGAAAACAACCTATTAGCTCTCCAGGTCCAGTCCCTGGAAGAGACCTTCCCTACAGGACCTTTGTAAGGCCTTTTCCAGCCTGGGCCAGCAGCGCAGGACCTCGTGTGGAATGGAGCTAGTGGTGGAAGACCCAACAGTCTCTGCTAACCACTGACTGGTGTGGCTGCTGGTCCCCTCTAGTGGCCCAAAGTGGAACTTATCTACAGATCATTAACTTTGACGCTTTCTGGTCATCTAAGTCCTTGCAAACTTTTACACAGAAAAGGAAAAGTAACTTTGCACAAGTTAACCTGTAAACAAGCCTGCATGAGGACAAGGAGCCACCTCGAGCCACTCACCAATCTGCTTTCTCTTCTCTTTATCCATAAAATTCAATCTCATAGCTCTTTTGTCTATGAGATCTTGGGGAAAGACCATTTCTGGGTATTCTTATGACCTGCAAAGTCACAAAGTATTCTCTAACTCAGTGCATCAGGCACTGAGAAAGTCATCATGCCAAAAGTACAAAGAGGACTGTCTCCCTGTTTAAGAATGGGTGTGTGGGGGCCCCAAAGAGGCCAGACTCAAGTTTCCATTTTCCACAAGTATACTGGTTGGTAAAGGCCCCTTGGGGACAAGCAATACCCTAGTCATGATCTGATGTGTTTAGGAAAATAACTGTTATTTATACATCATTAGCTACCAATTAAGACAGAAGCCGGTCTCTGGTACTCAAAATTGCTGTATGTTTCTCTAAGGAGACACTTTCTCTAAAGAGTTATCCTTCATTACAGCCCTAATGTAAAATAAACTACACAATTTTACTAAAGTCCTATCAGAATGAGTCCCATGCAATTTTTAATTATTTTACCATAAAATGTACTATAATACATAAGTGTAGTTAAAATCTGCACCATTAAATTATAAAGCACAGTTCTTTGTACCCACCACTAGGGTTAAGAAACAGGCACTGCCAGCCAGTACTAAGAAGTATCCAACCTCCAAGTACGTGTTATCATTTTCTGCTTTCTGCTAGAACAGTTTTTAACCCCTGTTCCATTGACATTTTGTGCATAGTAATTATCTGTTTCTTGCACGGGAGGCACAACTCCTTATTCACTGTAAGAGGTCCAGCCATGTCTCTGACCCTCTCCAACTAAATGCCAAGCACATTTCCCCAGTTGTGATAAAGATAATAAATGAATGAATGAATGTCTGCAGACAATGCCAAACGTCCACTAAGGGGCAAAATCACTCATCCCCACCAAGAAGGAACGTCTCAGGGTAACCCTTTCTATAAACTTGTAATATTTAGTTTTTGTTTTTGTTCTTCTTAAATGTATTTAGTACAGGGTCTACAGGGTCTCAGACTTATAGTGATCCTCCTGTGTTCAGCCTCCCAAGCACTGGGATTACAGGAGCATGCCACCATGCCCAGTCTCAATCACAGTCTCAGCAGCCCTGGAGGTGAGGCCAGCACACCTTGGATCAAACCCCAGTCCCTGCGTCTGCCTAAGCAGGTGCTTTAATCTGCCGGGCTATCAGGCTGGCCCTTGTAGTATTTGCTTTAATGATTTAATTTTTGGAGGTGGACATAACAGCCAGAGAAAGTACATAACATTATGACTACAAATATTTGTAACTGCCAGACAGGAGAAGAAACAGAATATTAACATCACCCCAGAAATTCCTCAGCAGCCCTTGCTCAATCTCAAATGCTCCTCCAAACAAAGGTATCACTAGCCTGGCCTTCATGGTGGAGCACTCTCCCCATTTTTAGAATAATCTGGCCATTTAAGCACAGCACCTTAATATCAGAGTTTAGCCTGGTATCTACAGATTACGTAAGTGCAACCACACTGGATGCGTATTTTGTGTCCATATTCTTTCAGTCAACATTAAGTTAAGAAGCCTTCTATACTAGCAACCAACTATATAATTTATGGGCCAAATCAAACTGATACCCTGCTTTTGTAAATAAAGTTTTATGTGGATACAGCCACAATCACTTGTTTAATTTTATTTTATGACTCTCCAACAGCCAAGCTGAACAAGTGTGACAGAGACTCTGTGACCTGTATTTCTGTCTGACCCTTGACAAAAAATATTCTATATACATACATACATACATATAACTATATTTTTCTTTGCATTTATAAAAATGGCTATGTACTTATGTATTCTACCAGTGGGGGCATTTGATTATGGTCTATTTGGGGATGCTGAAACAGTGTCCCACATTCCAGTCCATGTCTTCAAGACACAAACGCACAGGCATCTGCTGGACAGGAATAAAAGGCTATACATCTTCAGCTGTTACAAATAATTCCAAACTGACTCCAATGGTCCTATTAACCTATACTCTGTAGGAATCTCCTCTGCTCCACATTTGCAGAACCTGATGTAATCAGTCTTCCTAATTCTAATGGGCATGCTCTGGTACCATGTTGTGGTTTTATTCTGCGTTTTCCAGATGACTATAGTGACAGTGCGTCTTGTCACCTGTTTCTTGGGCACTGCATACCCTCTTTTGTTAAACTGCCTGATAAAGACTTGTCTCAGCCAGGTGCAGTGGCTCATACTTGCAGTCTCAGCCAGTTGGGAGGCCTAGGTGGAAGGGCTGCAAGGGCCCAACAGTTCAAGGCAGAACTTTAGGCCATTTGAGCAATTAAAAGGTGCAGCAAATCCCAGTAGAATGGAGAAACACAGAAAAGCCTTCCCTATTGACCCTCTTCTGGCTGCTGCCTATGGTCCCATGTGGTATTTCTTAGCTATGTATATATTTTTTTAAAATTTTATTTATTTATGTGTGTGTGTGTGTGTGTGTGTGTGTGTGTGGCCAGCTCAGCCCACCAGGGGGCGGGGCTGGCTGGCATGTGGTGCTGGGGGATTGAACCGCGGTCCCTGTGCTTTGCTTAGCTTAGCTTGTTCTAAGTAGGTGCTTTAGACCACTGAGCCATCTCACCAGCCCCTCTTAGCTATATTTTAAAAGCATTCTTTTCGTTATATTCAAGCATTCCTACAAAAACAAACAAACAAACAAACAAACAAAAAAAAAACAAACAACGCCTTCACTATGTAAGGGGTAACCTGAATGGACTTACCTTGCCATTCTCAACTGGTGAATGGGAAAAAAGTGCTTGCTGAAGACTAAATGGTCCTTAACAGAAAGCACTAACAAAACGTACACAGAACTGAGTATCTGTAATAACTTCAATCAACTAACTTTCAGATATAATAATGCTTTCTGTAAAGAGCTAATACAAATATTTTATACTGAAAAATTACGTCTCCTCGAAATTCAATGACCATCACCCTACCTGTGGCTTCCTGCCCATGGCAAGTGTTCAGTTCAGCCAGAAGCTGGTTAAAATCATCCTGATGAGCAATCCAGTTGTCCTGAGAACACCAAAGAGTGAGAACTGTAATTGACCTGATCAAGGTATCTTTCATTCTTTTATTTTTTTCCATAATTTTATTGACAAATAGCAATGAGACAGTTTCAAATCAAATTGGTAGGACAGTTTCAATAATTAACACATTGCATACATTCTTCCTAGTGGTTATTTGCTGTACAAGATGCGGACATGATATCCTATTTACAAACACTATTAGAACAAATCCCTCTATTCATTAAGAGAATGTAACTATATATCTATCCTAACCATTTTGAATGCACAGATACAAAATGGACATTCATCTGTATCCCCTTTTTTGTTTAGTTCCGTTATGTGAATATTATAGGTGTGTTAACTCAGCAAAATATTCTAAAAGAGTCCAGTAGTCCATAATAGTACTGGGTCTTCCACTTCACTGGCAATGTCAGAAATTGTTGACCTGAGTCACCTATAGCTCAACATAACAGCATGGCTTTACTTCTTATACTCATTCATTTTTTAATATTAATTTTTTTCCCTCTATTTAGTACAGGGTCTACAGGGTCTCACTACGTAGATCAGACTCATAGTGATTCTGTTTTCAGCCTCCCAAGCACTGGGATTACAGGCACGTGCCATTACACCCAGTCTCAATCGCCATCTCAGTATCTCCTGTGGGTGAGGCTGGCATGGGGCTCGAACCCCAGCCGCTGCACTCTGCCTACACAGGCACTTTAGTCTGCTGAGCTATCAGGCCAGCCATAAAATATTTTTGTTAATGTCATATAAGAAATCTAAGCATGTTGCCCTATCTTAAAAACTATGATGAATGCATTTTAATAGAGAAACCCTTCTCTCATCCCACCAACCCTGCCCAAGCTTGCTGCCCTCATGAATTAAGCATCTAAGGGGAAAAACAGCCAAACAGTTCTCACAGAGCTCTTCATCTAGAATGTTTACATGATGATTAGGTTAGTATTGCCTTCCTACAAAATTTACTTAGTCATTTTTATTTAACAAAACTACTAATAGCTTTGATTACTTATATTGAAAAGCAACCCCCAGCATATAGACAGCAGACTGCTAATTGAGTTGGGTCAATTTATACCCAGATATAGTGGCTTATTTACCCATTCCCCCTTCTCATAAGAACTTAAAACAATAATAAACATGAATGCACATACACATAGGCAAACACACACACAAAGCCAAAACATAAGGGATCTTTCCAGACAGTACACAGGTAGTTCAGTGTTAATAATTCACATACTGTAACAAAGTATATGGCTATAATTCTTTTACAAAACTTTCAGTGTCAGAAAAAAAGTCAAGCCCATCAGATTAGCACCTTCAACAATCACTTAAGGGAAATCTAAATATACTGAACTATACTGTGTGCTTCTGAGAAGGCTTTGCGCTATATACAAGTAAGGACTACCATATTTTCTTATATTGAGGAAGACGCCTGGCTTGAGAATTCCCATAACTGCACAGCTTCCTGGGGCACTTGGCATGTCTTGCCAGGGGAAAATTCCTCAACAACCATTCCAGATGGTTCTTCTTCAGGTGTGGCTGGTTTAAACCCTACTTCTCTGTGCCACCTCCTTTCCCTAGGAATTTTAATATACCCTTTACATCTTCACCAGTATCCCAAAAGTCTTGATTCTTTTAGATGAGGTTGGTGGGAGGACTGACTATGACACTAGCATTTGCAGCCCAAACTAAAATGGTGTGGCCTACCTTCAATGGACATCTGGATGATGTCTCCAATTTTTCCAGTCAACTCCCTGCCTCTCACTTGGTGATCCTGGTTGGAAGTATTCGTCATGTGACTAAATGTTCCATCAACATCCACCTCTTCAATGCACACATTCTTGTGCTTAGGCAGAATGGGAGATACTAACACTACTGCTTGTCTCTGATTATCTACCTCAACTCTCTCCCACTTTCCTCTAGTTGTGTGCAGACTATAATGTGAGATGCTCAGGACACTACCACCCAGAAGGGTTGAAGAGAGCTGCAACCTCCCTTCTTCCCCTTCTAAGAGTTCCCTGTAAGCGCTGATCAAGAAGTTGTTCATCATCACTCAGTGTGGCTCCTTCATCATTCCTCTGTCAGACAGCATGCAACAAGAGCTTTCTCAAGCAAGCAAGTCCTGTAACTCATGGATCCCTTCTACACCTGTCTAGACTCTTCCTGGAGATTAGCGGTGAGTGGAGAGGCTCTCAGCTCTCACACTTTCCATCAGTTCCTCCCTAGCACTGCCAACAGCCTGGCACTCTCAGTGTGGCACAGCAAGTGTGCCCACACTCTTCCTTGAATAGCCTCACCTGGGCACCATGCTCTCACTCCGTGAAGGACATGAGCCAGCTGCTACTCATGCAATCTGATGCACAGAATTCACCATATGAGTGTATTTCATGCTTCCTTCTGGTCTCATTAATCTCTTCATACATTTTTAGGAAACTAAGTGCTCAGTGAGGTTCTGATAATGATTCTCCTAAACCACTATAGGTACAGTTTCACCTGCTACTTTTCGACAGCAGCTAAGGAAGCTTCTAACTGGGCAAACTGATCCTTTAGATCCTCCAAATCTCCTCTAAGCTTTTTCTGTCACCAAGTGTAACATTCAGAGCTGCATCTATAGAGCTCCATGCTTCATCCCGTTCTCTTAAACTTGATCTAGACTCCATTAAGATCAGATTCTTGGTGCAACTGAAGAGCAGCTGATCATGCTTGGCCTTGCACTTGCCTAGCTGGATCTGCAATTTGGTGTGCTGAAGGGCAGTGTTCAGAATATATTTTAGATTCAAGGAAATCTGGCACTTATGCAATACTGTTTATCAAAATACTACCCGATACATTCAAATGGAAGAAGTTATGTAAGCTTGAAATATCACCACTCAAGGCCTGACTTCAAATGTGGAAGATTTACCAATAGTCAAGGTAATGATGAAAACAGGAAAAGTATGTGCTAAATATTAAAATAAATTACTTTTTTCTCACTAGCAGAAATTAGGTAGCTCAAGGGCCAGCAAAATAGCTCAGCAGACTAAGCACTTGCTTAGGTAAGCACAGAGACTGGGGTTTGATCCACAGCACTACATGATGTGTTGGCCCCACCCCTGGGCATTCTGGGCTGGCCACCAAGTCCAGGTGTGGTGGCACACTCCTGTAATCCCAGTGCTGGGGAGGCTGAAACAGGAGGATCACTGAGTCCAAGCTGCATAGTGAGAACCTGTACCAAATACAGAAGACAGACAGAGAGACAGACAATAGGTAGTTCAAAGGGTAAGAGAAATGAGGGACATAGAAGCTCTCTGTTTTGCTCAAGAGCTGAAAATATTCTGCTCCATTCTGACTACTGGCAAATGATTTAAATCTTACAAAATTTTGGGGAAAGGGAAAGGAAGAACTCAAAGTCCTACAAATCAATGAATACCTATCTGTAAGGTGATTGGCTAACAGGGAATGTAGACCTCCAACTATATTGACTATTGGAAAGCACTTCTGATGTAGGAATTAACCTCTTATGACTATGCATTATTTTTAGAAGGCTTAAAGGTAGGTCATATTGAATAGGTTTATTGGGCAGTGCTTCTGCTAAGAAAATAAGGAGACTATGTTGTCTGTCTCACAATTACATTCAAAACCAATCTTACATAAACTTTTTCTTTAATGACTGAAAAATTTAGCTGTTAGTCTAGAAAACTTTAGCTGTTCCAATCTGCTACTGAGAGCTACTGAACTAAAGTACTCCAGTTCATCTAAAGTAATTCTCTCCTAGATTCTGTTGGACACAAAAATTTAGTGCAAAGCTTTCAGCCTGAATATTTCTAAAGGAAATAATGGTACTAAATGAGAAAAGCATGGCAGGCCACTGTTTTTTACTTATAGTATCAATGTTCAACAAAAAATATAAATATACCCAGTGCTATGCACCAACACTCAGAAATAGGCAAGGCAAGGAAAAGAACAAGACTTTCTTTCTTTCTTTTTTTTTTTTTGTATTTTAGCGAGGGGCCAGGGAGATGGCTCAGTGGAATAAGCGCTTCCCTGGCAAGCGCAAGGACCTGAGTTCAATCCCCGGTTCCACCAAAAAAAAAAAAAAAAAAAAAAAAAAAAAAAACTATTACTGTATTTTAGCGAAGGATCTACAGAGTGTTCAGGGTCTCACTACTAGATCAGACTCATAGCAATCCGCCTGTTTACAGCCTCCTACAAGCTGAGATTCAGGCATGCACCACCACGCCCAGTCTCAACTGCTGTCTCAGTTCACCCCGGGGGTGGAGCCGGCACCGCAGGCCGGGGGAATCGAAACCCTGGCCCCTGTACCTGCTTGCAGGCACTTTATTCCACTGAGCTGTTTGGCCAGTCTGAACATGACTTTCTTGCAGTAGCTCCTTAAACTAAGTGCCAACAACGTTTAATAGTATAAGCTAATATCAGAATGCACGTGAAGACAAAACATCCTTTCTGTCCTGAAAGAAGACTTCTGGCAAAGTTTAATAGTAAAGCTTGCTTGGTTCTCCCAGGTATAAGCAGGTAAAGATCCCAAGAAGACCAAAAGGCAAGGTAATGGGTGGGATGTCACACAAGATGCAGCAGTCTAGCGAGGGTTCATGTTCTACCTACAACACCAACATTCTACACATCAATAATCAAAACTGAGTGGATTGCAGTTATAACAGTACTAGAACCACAGTCAGCTATACAAAGAAAACACCAGATGGCACACTGTTGCTTACTTCATTATTGATGGTGGCTCCAAGTCCCAGGTGGTTATTTTTAACTTGAACTCTAATATGCTCTGTAGCTCCTTGCTCCTGAGCCCCCAAGCCCTGCGAATAAACACAAAGGGAGTTAGCACTTTTGAGAGTTCAGCTATTTCTTCCTTCAACAAGACATTCAATTATGACTAAACATCTAGGGTGAGACACTATCCCTGCACTCAGAGAGCAAAGGCCAATCAATTCTTAATAATGTCTCACACCATGGATGCACATATAGCAGCGAACACCAATTCTTCAACCTGAGACCAGATATGAGGTCGCCAAAGACACCAGGCAGAAAACATCACAGGTTGGTGCTCAGAGCAGAATGAAACACAGAAGCCCACAGGAAGTGTCACAAGGCACTCCCTCCATCACTTAATATTACAAAAGGACACCACGGAAAGAGTAAAAGAGGTACTCTAAGGCTCCTGCAACAATTAACATTCACTCCTAAAGAGAACTCATTCACTCAGGAGGACAATGAGCACAGAGCCTAACAGCACGATATACTGGAGAGTGGCTTCCACAAGTGAATAAGGGAAAAATAAGTTGACAGGAAGGGGTGGAACCTAGAAGGACCTGAGGACTAAGGTAGACATTTGGATTTGATTTTAAAACCTCTTGGAAGTCGCTTCCTCTGTAGTGTTGTGCTGTGAGGTAGGTAGACGGGATTGTAAACGCCGGGAGCGAGAGAGGTTTTTGCCGCCCCGAGGCCGCTGCTGTGCGGAGACCCAGGGGAAGCCACCATCGCCATGTCTGATCAGGAGGCAAAACCATCAACTGAGGACTTGGGGGATAAGAAGAAAGGCGAATACATTAAACTCAAAGTCACTGGACAGGATAGCAGTGAGATTCACTTCAAAGTGAAAATGACAACACATCTCAAGAAACTCAAAGAATCATACTATCAAAGACAGGGCGTTCCAATGAATTCACTCAGGTTTCTCTTTGAAGGTCAGAGAACTGCTGACAATCATACTCCAAAAGAATTGGGAATGGAGGAAGATGTGATTGAAGTTTATCAGGAACAAAAGGGGGGTCATTCAACGATTTAGTCTTTTTATTCTTTTTCTTTTCCCTCAATCCTTTTTTATTTTTAAAAAATAGCTCTTTTGTAATGTGGTGTTCAAAATGGAAATGAAAACTGGCATCCCTTCTCTTTAAAACATCCAGTAATTTGAATTCTAGTGCTCATTATTCATTGTTTTCGTCGTGCTGATTTTTTGGTGATCAAACCTCAGTTTTCTTCACATTGTCTTCTGCATTTTAAAAATTACATGTGTGCACAGAGAGGCTGCAGATTTCAGGACTGTGCATTTTCAGGCTTGTGATCATAAGGTCGACCCGTGCGACTGTTCCTGGTGGCCCTGAAGTTCGAGCTTGTGATTGCTTCACTCCTGGACTATAACTTTCAGTGGGAGGTAGAAGTTTTTCAGAGAACCAAACTGTGGAAAAATGACCTTTCCTTAACTTGAAGCTTAAAATCTGAGGGTCTGGACCAAAAAGAAGAGAAACATGAGCTTTCATGTCCAGATAACAGACACGGTGAGAGATTGATCAACTCCAAGGGTAGCTTCACTGAAGAGAAAGCAGTTTTAAGATTTAAAAAAATCTTGTCAGAAGATCCCAGAAAAATTAATTTTCATTCAAAATTAAAAGTTACTCACGCAGATGTATGTATACTAGAACACTGCTCCTTTTGATTTTGTTTGTACTTTCTGGCCTGGGATATGGGTTTTAAATGGACATGTGTGTACCAGCTTCATTAAAATAAACACTATTTGTAAAAAAAAATAAAAATAAAAATAATAAAAAAAAAAATAAAACCTCTTGGAAGGCACTGGATCTTAAGCAAAAGCATACCATGATCTAATTTCCATATTCTAAAGGACCATCCTGGCTGTCACATGGCAGTGGTCCAGAGGAAGAAGAGAAGGGAGGTGCTGAGAGTGTTGAGAAGACAAGGACAGGTGATGACAGAGGGCCCAGTGCTGGTATGCTCAGAAAGTGGAGATACAGGAAAGAGAGGAACCAGGTTCTCTGACTTAAATACATGAACAGATGAATACACAGGTACGTGATATCATTTCTGAAAATCAGGACTCAGGAAGGAAAAGATGTAAGGGGACCAAGAGGTTTTTTTGTTTTGGTTTTTTTTTTGTAGTTTAAAATTTTATTTAACTTAAAAGGTGAACAAAATGTGTATTTGAAATCGAACTAACCTTACGTATCTGACATACATGTTTACACAGAGGACAGATTCATTTCCAATAACTTCTGGAAGTCTACTGTCCGTTTAAAAATACTTTTCCACAAAAACTCTTCATCGAAAGAAATATTTTTCTTTAAAAGCTAGATGCAAATTTCCACTGCGATCTACTGTGATGTACTCATTTTACGGTCAACTCTGATGATGAAGATGGCACGCAAATGTGTAGTTCAGGTGACTGATGCAAATAAAAAGTGACGAAGATGCCTCCACCATGTCCCGGTAGAGGGGTCGCCCCTTGATGCTCACAGCCGATCACTTCTTCTTCCCTTTTCCTTTTTTACTTCCCTCTCCTTGCTGAAGATTTGGGTCACCACCTCCTGTTTTCTGTGTTCTGGTTTTTAGCTTAGGTATCATTTCTGCTACATACAACATTACTGACTTACATGATGGGAACTGCCCCAGACAGAGGCTGCCATCTTCCTGCTTCAGCTGGACTCGAACTCTGCCTCTGTATTGAACATCATGATTCCATTTCCTAGAGTACATCTTATTTTTCAAGATAACTGCATTAAGTCCAACTGCTGAGCATATATCTTGAATCTCGGTAGCTGTAGGATTTTCAACAGCCTTACTTATTGGGATCCGCCTCCCCTCTGAGATGGTTTTCTTATTATTTAAATAAGCGGGGTAGATACAAATAAACCTGTCTTGGTCTGCCGGGGAGCGGGCGGCTGCGCAAGCCATATCCACAGAGGCTCAGGCCGTGCAGATTAGGTGGGACCAAGAGTTTTAGAATAAAAATGATACCCTTGAGATGTGTACTCAAATAGGAAAGCCAAGCAGGTTGATGAATATACAAATTGGGAGCTCTAAGGACAGAATTAGACTCCACACAATTGAAAGCACAGCACGGCAGAGAATGAAGCCACTGGAGCAGTCCACAGAAAAGCACTTGTGCAGGACTGCAAAGAGCTCCAAAGCTCAAAATGTTTGCAGAAAAGAGATGGTAACAAATTCAGAAGTGGCTGGTGAGGCCAGAGAGAAGAGGAGGTGTATTGTGGATGCCAAGAGACAAGAGTTTCAAAGGAGTAGCTGATGACATGCCACACAACTCAGGGCTATGTGAGTGAAGCAGCGTTTACTGGGTTTGACAAGAGCATGACAGACCTTGACTGGTCTCAGTACATGTATGCATAAACATCTGTACAGACCCCACCCAGAGTCAGTAAGAGATGGGACGGGAGGAAAGGGGAAAGCAAATGTAGTCTAGCCATGGAAGGGAATTCAACATCACTCCTGGCAGCAGGAGGCCCTGGTGTTTAAGTATGATTCCATGTGTGATGCAGTAAAAAGCTGTGTCTAAGAAAGAGCCTAGTCAGTGCAGTTTAAATGAAGAGATCTGGTGTTCACATTCAATTCTAATTTCACCAGTCACTACAGTTTATTTCCGCTATATTACTTACTGATCCAAAACAAAAACTTCTACCAGACTTATACAAAAAGATTGCTAATCTCTTGCCATGGTTCAGGTGGTTTTTTGCTCTTTTTGTTTTGTTTTTGCTTTGTTTTTCTCCAAAGTACCTTTCCTTTAGACCACCCCATCTTCTCTAGCATCCTCTGGCCAAACTTGGAATCGTCATTACTCCATGCAGTGTTTCTTGGATCCACAGCCCACTTTTGCTTTCGTCGACCTGTAAATGCAAAAGTAGTCCATCAAGATTTTAAACCAGGGAGGAACACGCAAATATCAACCTACTTGCATACAATATGATACACATTTTATTACATACAAATACCATACTGAACCCAGTGGACATTAGAATAGCTCATTTCTCCTTATTTTCCCAGTAACTGTATGTTCTTCATATACAAATTGACTTTCTAAGTTTTAATCATTCCCTCAATGCATCCCATATACTGTAAGCTGGACCTTCTATACTCTGCTGTCAGCTGCACTTAAAAACACCTATGTGGGGGCCAGGGAGATGGCTCAGTAGAATAAGGGCATCTCTGGCAAGTGCAAGGGCCTGAGTTCAATCCCTGAGTCTGCCAAAAAGGAAAAAAAAAACCCCAACACCTATGCACACGTGTCATCATCACCATCAGCAGCAGTAGCAAGAGGCTTTCTCTGAGCTATTATTGCAGGGCTTATGTGCCAAATGCTATATAATCAGTACTACATATGTGACATATACATCCTCTCTATACACATTAAATTCAATTTTTCATAGTAAGCCAAGGAAGGGAAATAAGGCTTAATCTCCGACTGAGAAAACTTGAGCCTTGGAGAAAGCAATATGCCTAATGTTCCCAAGCAAAATCCAGACCTTTATATAAACCAACATTCTACTGACTTAAAAGTTCACATTGTTAATCTACAACACACAACAGTCATTTCAGTCTTAGGGAGAGTCACCTGTACCTTCATTATGTGTACTATCTACACATAATGACAGCTTCCCTTCTCGCTAAAATGCCCTACACATAACTGATTCACTGAACTTCCAGAATCAATGATCTGTTTCACTTTTGGCATTTAACATACTACTGTATTGGAACTATTTATATTTCCTGCTAGACCATAATCTCCTTAAAGGTCATATTCATATCTTTTTGTTTCACTGCAAGAAGTGGAAATAACATTTTACATGTAGGAGGCCTTCAATAAAGGTGAATGAATGAGAAAGAATGATGGTAAGGGAAGAAAGAAGGAAAGAAAAGGAAAAGAATATAATCAAGCAAATTGCTTTGCGTCTCATCAAACTATTCTTTTAAATGCATATAAATAACTAAGCTCTAGGAACTTGGGTTCATTGCTGAAGCTTTAAGAAAAATTACTGCAGAGAAAAAAGGACAAAGATTCACAGGACAAAAAAAATGATACCTAAACCTGACTGTGGGTGAACGAATGTGAAGATGTCAGCGTCACTATCGCTCACCCACTGCATCACCTGAAGCACACTATCAACAGCCTCAACAGCCTGACCTCCGCAGTCTCACAACACAACTGTAACACAACCTCCAGTCAAAGGGGCTAATTGCACTGCATGTAAAATCAATACAGAACCTTAACTATATACATCCTAGCAAAAACAAGAAGCCCTTTGCATGTATACAGACAGAAAAAGGCCATTTAAAAAGCCAAATGAGTGGGGCTCAAATTTATAGTGTTCTGCAAGAAAAAAAAAAATGACCCCAAAATGCTCTACCTGGCTAAGTTACCACTTACTAGACCGTGTCTACTAATACAACACCAAAGGTAAGCCTTGCTAACTAGCATTCTGTAGCTGGTAGTGGTGAATCAGAGTCTATAGACAAGTGTTTGCCAGGGGTCTCTGTCTGAAGCTGGAATGAAGGAGGTAGCCTGGAAAATAACGGTCTCTCCCAAGATAAGAAGCCCATGTTGCCTATCTATATCCCACAGACTGTAATACTCCACAAGACTGGCTACCAGAGGTCAGCTCATCTTCCCCAGGGAAGGGCAGGCATCCTCCACCAAGGGGGCAACAACAGTGTTTCCCAAATGAAGGTACTGGGGGAGGAAGTGCTCTTCACCTAATAAAAGAAAAATGTCAAAAAACATTTAACAATAATTTGCCAGGATGTACACAGAAAAGAGCTAAGAGTAGGCCTTACTGCTGACTCTGAAAGGCTTGCTGACAAGGTCACCTCTGCTGGGAATATGGATTTCAGGCAGGCTCCTACCATTCTTCTAAGAGTGACACACTATGCTTAACTGTTATGCAAATGATGTGACTTATGAGTCTGCTTACTTTCTCGGTCCTAGCCGAAGAAATGAAGAATGTCAGTGTGAACCTATCAGCAGAAGATTCTGGAAGTGTGCACCCATTTTATCCTGCACTTCACCCACAACTCTTTCCATTTACTTGCTCTGCTTCAGCATTCTTTAGCTGTATAAATCCAAGCCACATTACTATATGCTGAGTCCTGTGTCTGAATCCAGCAAACCACCCATCTGGGGTGTCCTGAGAACTCCAATACAACCATAAACAGCAACACGAGACACAACACTGGGCCTCAGGTGGGGAACCCCAAATTTGCCCAAGTACTGTCTGGCATGAGGTGCTCTACCAGCCTCTAGCAGGGAATGCGCCTATTTGGAGATCTAACTGTAAATAGTCCCCACAAGGTACAGTTAGCTGTGACAGCTCCAAGGGACTTCACCTTTCAATCAGCCCATATCTAATACCACAGGGTTCCTGCCACTAGTAAGCTAACTTGACAGGGACACTGAACCGGGACAGCAGGGGCAGAAGTTCCTTTTATTTTTTGCAAAGATACTTTCAGATACTCAAGAGCTCAAACTATACCACCCACAGCCTTAAAGATTATTTAAGACATATTTAAGATTGAAAAAACTGCAACATAAAATTTTAATGCAATGAGCATTCAAATTCATTAACTATAGTGCTATTATAAAAGAATGACAAGTGTCAAAAATGTTCTTCAAAAGGAAAGCATCTATGAAAAAATTAGTATCTTGATAAATAATGAGTCTAAAGTTGTGTATTACATAAAGACCAGGAAGTGTTAAGGGTCATAAATAAAATTTTTGTCTTATAGAAGACAGATTCAACAAAGGACTTTTTTTTGTGGGGGGTGGCTCAGGCTGCCTTAGGGCAGGGACTGGGGATTGAACCGCAGTCCCCTGTGCCTGACTGGGTTTGCCCAAGCAAATGCTTAAACAACTGAGCTAACCCTTAAGCCCCCTAGACAGACTCAATAGGGTAGCTTTCGATAATTAGAGAAATACAAGCTAAAGAATTTTTTGTGAAATACAAAGAAAACCATTAGTAATTTAAAAACCAGGGAGCCAGGGTTTTAGCTCAGTGACACAGCACCTGCCTGGCAAGTGGGAGGTCCTGAGTTCAATTCCCAGAACCCACTTTCCTCATATGAAAAACAAAAACAAACAAAGAAACAAAAAAACCTAGGAGAGGTTGATGGGAGGGTCAGGGAATGGGGAAAACAAAACAAGTTGTATCTTGTACAGGTACAAGTTCTCTATGATGAATGTGATCATTACGTATATCTAAAATGTACCAATAAAATCTAATTAAGAAATAAAAATTAGACTAAGAGTCTATATTGGAAATAAAACAAAACACAGTCCACAATGAAAAGGGAAACAAAATGCTATGTTTAATACAGCAAAAAATGTCTGCTAAAGGTAAGCAGGCAAAAATAAGTAGGATAAAAAAAATTGAACCTACATGATAATCCCAATTTTACAAATTAACAGAGAACAGTTTCTGGGTAGTAAAATTATGAGGCTGTAAATTTCCTATGCTTCTATTTTCTTATCTCTAAAATGAGAATACTAATCCTAAGTATTTTACCATAAGATCCTATAAACATCAGTTTAGCAAATTATGAAAAAGTTACATAAAATGTTGTATATTATGACAGATATATAAATACTCAGAGAACTGGAAAGAAGTGAAAATACTTATGTCACAAAAATTAGTGCTATCTACATAAAGCATTTCTATATACCTCTTCAAATTTTTCAAACTGATTTCAAAAAACCATCTCACTGATTTTAAGCTAACTTCATAAAGACTGTAAGAAAATTTTAATAGGCCTCCAAAAACTAATCCAGGAAACAGTAATACACTAATACCAGAGCCAGGGCCAATGTTTGAAATGCTGAATCAGTACTTGTACTTATCAAAGACTATGAAAACTGTAAGAAACCTTAACAATCTAGCTTCTAATCTTGACTGCTTTTTTTTTTTTTTTTTTAGAATTAAATCATTTATTGATTGTACATGAAATGGATCATGAACAGCTTCAATCCCACCTATCACTGTATCTGGTATCAAGATTCAATTTAGGTATACAGGGTGCATCAATATTCATTTTTTCAGTCAATTTATTTATTTATTATTTTTAATTTTTCTATTTTCCTGGCTTTATTTTATTGATTGCACATTGTAAATAAATTATTTACAAACTTAAATGAATATAGTAATAAAAATTCCCCAAAATAAAAATGAATAAGTATTTACAGATCAGTCATATAATAGTTCACTCTGTGTCAAAATCAATAAACTTATATTCATATTTTTTCTAATTTTTATTTATTTATTTTTTTGTCCTGTCAGAGGTGAATATTCTATTGGCATCTAAATACTGTGTTTGAATTCAACTAAACATCTAACACTGTCTAGCAGTCTATATTAGTGGATTATCCTCAGAAGTTATTGACTTGAGCCTTTTACAGCTCATCATATTAATATGGATTTACTTTATATACCTCATTTTTATACTTTGTACTGGATGGTTAAAACCAAGATATAGCAAGACCTATATACCCAGAAATGTAACTTTGTATCTGACAAGGTCAGCCAAGTGCTCTCAGAATTTATCCTGTCGCCCTGTACCACCTTTTGTACATCCTTTTGTCAGTGTCTGACAGGAGGATGTTGACTGCTTATTTTTGTTGATGAATAAATAAGAATACACAGGATCACCATCTTAGTTATTTTTCTGTTCCTGCTGGCACAAAAGAGCAAAATAGCAAGAGCATAACTACATGAGGCTTTGGGGAGACTACACACAAACTGTAACACCATCTAAAACATTGTCCTCTGAGTTCCTATTTAGAAATAACAAAAAGCCTCTGCAAAATGTAGACTGAAGTAACTATATCAATTTTGCTACTTTCTAACTCAATGATTTGGAGTACACTATTTTCCTCTGAATTTCAATTCCCGCTATTGTAAAATCAGGTTGGTGCCTGGCCCATTTCAAGTTTTCTACTCTTAGTGCTTTGGTGGTCACTGAGAGAGCAGGACGAGGCCGGTATTAATTTCGCAAAATCCCTATGCAGTTGCTGCTGGTCTGTTAAATAAGTTGTTTCTGCCTGCGTGAGGCTCACTGCACAACTTTTTTGCAAAAAGCCCAGGGCCAGCTCTTCACGACGGTGACACGATTGCCATCTGGTGGCAGCAAACTCAGATACAGGTCCCACTCAGAGAAGTTCAAGGACCTCTCCCAGAGAGCGGGAATTGGTGGGTTTCACTCCAGATGGTAAAACGTTAAAAAGTGGACAGGTGCAACATACGGTCAACACCCTAGTTGTGGGTGGAGTAGCTGCAGCTAACAAAGGCGCCCCCACGTTTTAGATTTCCTCATGCGCCGGTACTCCCACCCCCAAAGGCTTTCTGTCTGATGCTTCCAATTCTTTGGCTTTTCTTTTTCTGTGCGCTAACACACGTTCAACAGCTGGATTCATCGTCTGCAGATCCTTCTCGCCCACCTTCTGTTTTTATGCCTTCGTAAACTGAGGTCCGGAGATATGAAGAAAGCACCCTGGGCGCCCAAGACAGCCGGAGGCAGGGCCCGTCCCGGGACCCGAGTCCCGACTCCTGTTCGAACCCCGCGCGCCGCACATCTGGAGCACAACAGTCTCCAGGGGACACCCGAATCTCTTTCACTAGCAGACCGGCATCTAACTTCCGGGAAAGGCTAGGCTGAGCCAGCTCTACAGCTGGCAGGGTGGACCTAGCCAGGCTTCCCGGCCCAGTCCCCGGGTCTCAAACGACATGGGACGCCCCCAATCCACTATGCGGGGATGACCGTGCCTCTGCGGCGGCGGCAGAGCATCACCCAGTGGCGCGGGACTCAGGGCCCCGCGTCCGACACTTACGCTCGGCCAGCATCGACATGTCGCCAAGTCTACTGCTTGCAGGTCTCCGAACTGGCGCGACTGTGGTGCCAGGGTTAGGACTAGGGAAGAGAGCTGTAGCGCGGAACCCACACGCCTGAAGAACCGGGGAGGCGGAGGCGCCTGCTGATGACGTCAGGGCGCGCGACCCGTTTCCGACCACGCGGCGGCGAGGGGCGGAGCCCTTGCCGCGACAGAGGCGTGGCCACCCAGCGGGGCGGAGAGAAGCGTGGTAGTTCATTGGCTGGGGCTTCCGGGCATGCGCCCTGCCCTCAAGCGGCTGCCAATCTAAGCCAGGTAAGAAAAAAGGTAGAAGACAGCCTTTGGGGTGATCAGTGTCCTCTGAAAGGTGTACACAGAGTTGGAGCAACTCTGCTTGAAGGGAAAACGTAGCATTATGATGTCTTGTTTTCTTCAGGCTCTGCCCCGCCAGGAACGGACTGGTAATAGTGTGTATAGATCTGATATCTTTCTATTGTTGTATAGAAGCAGGAACAAACCAGTTAAGCAGATAACTAATTTTGCGAAAACATCGTCTTTCCTCAAATAATGTGATATGAAGACACGCTTTTAACTTCTCCACTGCAACACGTGCATTAAATTGTACCTTTATCAGGCCGGGGAGATTGCTCAGCAGAATAAACGCTTCCCTGGCAAGAGCAAGGGCCTGAATTCAATCCCCGGTTCCGCCAAAAAAAAAAAAAAAGAGAGAGTGAGAGTGAGAGTGAGAGTGAGAGACAGGAAAAAAAAAAAGAGAGAGTGAGAGTGAGAGTGAGAGTGAGAGACAGAGAGAGAGAGAGAGAGAGAGAGAGAGAGAGAGAGAGAGAGAGAGGAAGAAGAAGAGGAAGAAGAAATTTTGCCTTTATGATAGCTATCTCTGTATTCATATCTGCACCTAGCCCAACTTTGAGTATGGTAGGGGCTCCAATAGATGTTTACAACTTTTAATTAAAGTGTATGTGTCTCCAGGGGCGCTGTAATGAGATTGTAGCAGTGAAAAGCTCAGGAAAACTGTAGGGAATTGTTTTTGGACGGGTGTCTCTCAGGTGAATTTCAGGTGACAGCACACACAAGTTTTCCCTGCATAAGCAGGAGGTGAACAGAGCCTGCCTGCCCTGATGCTCACAGAAGCTATGCAAAGTTGTTGTTGTTTTTAAATAAAACTCTCCCTTTAGAGGTCTAGAGTAACAAGATAACTTCTTTTATTTCAGAAAAGTTAGAAGGAACACCAAAGAGTATTTACTGTCAGGAACTACTCGGAAACAAAGAGGTGAGGAAGTGCAAGTTAATGCCACTTTCCATGGGGAACAGCTAAGATTAAAATAGGGATTTGGACTTAGGAAGGCAAGATCATGAATGTTTTAGGATAACTAGGAGATCTGTTTGATTACCCGTGAACATGAAGGCAGTTAGACACAGAAGTTAGTGAATTAGTTTGCCAAGTCCCACATATTTTGGTCCATGACTCAGGAAGATAAATGTGGTCAGAAAGGCTGAGGTAGAAATATGTGTTGCTGCTGCTGCTGCTGCTGCTGCTCCAAGTGACCAGTGATCAGAACTGTGGAGGACCACCTGAGCAACTCTCCTTCAAAGCAGAGCAGTCGTCTCCATTGTGGCTGGGCCTGACCCTCTATCCATGTATTGATATGTACAGAGCTGGCTAAGACTTTTCTTTATCCATTCAATTGGCTTTAAGCAATGCATGCTGGTCTAACCAAGGTGCTGGTGATAGTCTTTGAAGGTGGCACGCATGTTTCCCTGGTAACCCCCACCTGCTGCTCTTTAATACGAGTCTGGTCGAGAAGGAACGGAAAGCTAGTGCTCCATGCTGTCGCCTGCGATCAAGCCACAAGTTAGAGGCCATGACTTCCTGGGGTTTGAAAGATTACACCTCAGAGCTGAAGCAGCAGACCTCAAAACATTAGATACTATCTCAATTGTGTAGTGCAGATTATTCTCTGCATATCCTTGAGTAAATACAGGCCTCCTACTAGCCCAGCTCACAGTATTCACCTACCTCCTGCCATTCTCAGTCAGTCATCCTTAAGCCACTCCTCCTTCATGGCTGAATAAAACCCGGGTTCAGCCCTGGGTCGAAGCCTTTCTTCCGGATAGCCATCACCGTGGCTGGATTTAGGACTCCTTGACTCCCCGTAACTATAAATATGTTTTAGTGTCTGTATTCTCACCATGGTTTGCACTGGAAGTGGTAGATTGGAATTAACTTGATGGGATTCCAATAACTTATCCATGGGATTACAAATATAAACTTCCAGGACTGAGATGAGGACCAAAAAGTGCTCCCTATTTTTAGTGCTCAACATGGGGTATAGAAGGTGGCCTTTTTTTTTTTGAACCATGGATTGAACAACTCAGGCCCTTGAACTTGCCAGGCAAGCACTTATTCTACTGAGCTATCTCCCCAGCTCCTTGTGGGGTGTAGAAGGGATGAGTGACTTTCTCAATAAGAACTAGACTGAGATAGACTGGTGACACCTCTCTCTCTCTCTCTCTCTCTCTCTCTCTCTCTCTCTCTCTCTCCACACACACACACATACACACACAAAAAATGCTCTGTAAGAAGCCATAAAGGAATGTTGTAGAAAGATTTTGCATTTAGGTGAATCCAAAGTTTGTTCCAGCTCCAGCATCCTCTATGTCTATGAAATATTGATGAGGATTATAGAAATGTTACTTATTTTTAAAAAAAGAGAGCTGGGCAGGGCAGCCAAATAGCTCAGTGGATTAAAGCACCTGCAAGCAGGCACAGGAGCCAGGGGTTCCATCCCCAGTACTGCTGTGCCGGCCCTGCCCCTGGGGTGCACTAAGATGGCAGAGGAGACTGGGCGTGGTGGCACACACATGTAATCCCAGCTCTTGGGAGGCTGTAAACATGCGAATCACTATGAGTGAGATCTAGTAGTGAGACCCTGAACACCCTGCAGACCATTCCCTAAAAAAAAAAAAAAAAAAAAAAAAAAAAAAAAAAAACCCAGAAAACAAACCAGAGTGGGAGTGTGTCAGTTAAATTTCCCTTACTTCTCAGAGTCAGCAGCCCAATAAAATATGAGCACTATAATGGTGGCCAGAAAACCTGAGAACCTAAATCCAACTCCAGGCTTGGCAGTGTGACCTTGAGCAAGTCAAGTTGCCTCTTTTGTTTTGTTTTGTTTTTTAATTTTTAATTTTTTAATTTTTTTTGTGTGTGTGTGGCCAGCTCAGCCCACCAGGGGGCGGGGCTGGCTGGCATGTGGTGCTGGGGGATTGAACCGCGGTCCCTGTGCTTTGCTAAGCTTGTTCTAAGTTGGTGCTTTAGACCACTGAGCCATCTCACCAGCCCAAGTTGCCTCTTTTGGCATCAGCATTGCAATCTATAAAAAAAGGAGTTGGATGGTATTTGAGGTGGTTTCTGTGTACAAAATCTTTCAGAGAATTACTTTAATCCAAAACTCACAACCCAGTAGTTTGACCACTAGAGGAATATAGCATCAGAATTCACAGCTTAGATTTGGAAACAAGACTTTCTGGGTTCAGATGTTAGCTCTGTCACTCACCAGGTTTGCTGATCTTCTGTGTACTGGGCTGAGTGCTTCTCTCCTCTATGCAGCTATTCTTCATCTGTAAGATAGGAAGAACAGTGCCTACTGTGTAGCATTGTTACAGCAAGTCACCAGATGCTACCTGTTACATTCTAAGAATGGCATCTTGCACATAGATAGCACTCAGTCATCATAATATCAAGTAAGGTGGAAGTAAGGGTGATTATGCCAGCAATTCTTTATCGTTTCAAGCATATACTAGGAGCCAGGGTTACAAAGGTGGACAGGAATAATCATGTCCCCTGCTGTCATAGTTTCCATTTTAGCAGGGAAGATGATGTGAATCAACCATATGCATAAATGTAATGAGTGCTATAAAGAAGTGATTTGTGTGGCTAGAAAAGAACATAAAATAGACAAAAATTAGGGAGCATGTTTATGTAGATGTGAATTGGAGCCACCGGCCATGATATGAGTAGTCAAAAGGGAAGTGACATTGGAGCTCAGAGCAGAAGGCACACCCCAGCCAGGAAAAGCACGAAGACTGTGGGACTCCTGAAGACGAGGCTGGCCTGGGAGTCTTCCTCTAGGTCTGAAAAATTTTGTGACATCACACTATAGGCATCAGAAAAGGGTTGTGAAAATCTGTAAAACTCAATCCTCAAAAATCATGCCCGCAGATCCAAATAAACATTGTGAGTTCAGAGGACACATCTGATTTCCTCAGTCTTAGCACTTAGGTTTATTGCCCTAACTGAACCTTCCCAACCTTTGAATGAGACAGTGACAATTTAGTTTCTCATATCCTGTGATATTTTCAGGGGCAGCTGGTAGAGGGGAGAGTGGTGTAGCTGGGGAGGGAGAGGCCTGCAGAGAGAAGGAATAAAAGCAGAGTGGAGGGTGGGTAGTGACAGTACAAATGGGATGGTGACTGACTGAGTCACTCTCGAGCCTTCCAGACCTGACTGCTGGTGGAGGCTTCGTGCCTCAACAGTGCACAAGGCAGTAGACACCCTGGAACCAGCTAAGGAGGCTTTCAATGCTCCGCTGTGGACACCCAGGACACCAGGACCCCTTTTATAGTGCTTTGTTTCTGGCTTCTGGTGCTCTCTGAGTAAGCAGCCTAGAGCCCAGGAAACTGCTGGTGGAGTCTGTCCCCACCACGAGGGGCTTCCTGGGTGTGGCAATTAGTTAGGGATTCAAATATGGCTCTGGTGCTACATTTGTGTCCCCACTCTGCTTCTTCATCTGCTGTCCTAGGAGGTTGCTCTGAGCACTCAGAGCCGACACTCGGATACCTGAGAGTCACAGCAATCTAATGCTGTGTGTGGCCACTGCTCAAAGCCTAATCTTCTCCGTCCCTGTTCTCCATACCCTGCTTTCGTCTTCCTCTGCACTACCAGCTCTTGAGCCTGGGCAGCTGACTCAGTAAATGTCCTGTGTCTTGGTGTCTCCATCCACTGGAGAGATGGTACCTGCCTCAAGGGCCCTAGCCATGCTCTAGTGAAGATGGGTGACTTCCCCAAAATTTATGTTGGAACCTAATCCCCAAAAGGAGGGTATTTGGGAGTACTTAGGTCATGAAGGAGCAGC